AAATTATTCACTTTATTTTTGCTTAAATTATTTTTTACTCAAATTATTCATTTATTCAAAATAAACCTTATTCAAATAGAAATCCTAACTACTACTAGAGATATGATATTATTTTAGTACAAAGAACTTTAGAAACATTTAACCAATAACTTAATTACAATGTAAAAGAGCTATTAGTTTATTATACTATATGATAAAAATACTAAGAATATTACTAACTTATCAGTATGCCAATACCTTGATTATTTTTTTAAAGAATTATCAGATTCTGATATTTACTGATACCCCATTACCAATTTGGCATCATTCAACCAGTAAAAAGAGAGCCAATAAATTATATATAAGCATGGGACCCTAAAATTAGCACAAAAGAATTTTAAATCATGCATAAACACAACAGCTTGATAGCTTGATTGACATAGTGGTGTAGCTTGCAATTTTTTTATTGTATATTTTAAATATAATTAATTATATATCTTTAATAATAAAACAAACATAACTTAGCTGTTTAATCATTTCCTTGCATGTGAATGCCTCCATACATCAAATATTCATGATTATCATCCAATACATTTGATGTTATAATTGGCATAACAAACAATTGCATCACCCAAGTAATACCAAGGCCATGCATAAAAATAATGTGTTTCTACCCAGATCTTTAGGTTCACAAAATAAATTATTTTACCTAATGATCAATTGTAGTTCTTTATAAATAATAAATCTGATGTTATTTGCAAGTGTCAGATTTAATTAAATTTTCCTGTCACAAACATGTGGGTCGGGTGCTATTTGCACACCCCATAACCATGGGATTTTCCCTTCACAGGTGAGGGTGCCCAATGTTGGTAGGCTTTGAGCAAAACTTTCCTTATCTTCCTCTCAGACCAGGCTTGGCTGTTACCATGTGCATTGGTCACCTGATATCTAGTGTTTTCATGATGCTTGCTTTATGTTATAGTTCTCTCACTAAAATAAAGTTTGTGTCTGCTGTCTATTTTAATCTACATAACAAGTAACTAATTGGGAAAAACCCCATTCAGCCCCTACCTAAAATTATAAATTGGTTAGTATTAAACAGCCTTTCTCTTAACATCAGAGCTAATTCCAATTTCAGGACCATCAATCCTGTTCTAAATTGTGACCTCCTGTGCTTGAAATAAGTTGCAGATTCTTGTTGCTTTGATGGATCTGGATGTATATGCATTCCTAATGTCACAACTCTTCAAAATACAACTTGGTCACATAGCCATCCTTACCTTAGAGTTAGAAACGTTGCAGGCAACTTTCAGCCAGCATGATAACAGCCTCCTATGGTCTGGGTACAGCGAGAAAGATTAGTGAAAGTGTCAGACAATTGATGCAGTTTCTACCGTTTCAATACATCCCAGGGCTACTCCCCCCCCTAAAATTTAACAACATCATTTTATCATTGGAGCCACGACATAGTTAGATTAGCCTTTGTACACAAGGAATTTGTAAGAATGACTGTAAAGTGTTCATGGTTGAATGCATGCTTCAATATCTGCTAATCTAGTAATTTCCTGATAATCAAACATTGCATATTGAAATGTTTCTTCTGCAACAGTCAGTCATGCTGTCTTGACATCTTGTAACTATATATATATTTATATATATTGATATTGATACTATTTACACGAAGCAAAATACCAATCATTCATTTATCATCATCAAGAATCTTATAATTTACCCAGCAAGTTCTACTCTGCATTTTGATTCCATTTAAAATATCTATAAACTAAAAGATCATCACGTTATTATTATATCAAGGCAAATAAGAAAAAATACCTCTTTCATTAACAGGAGTCTCATGTTTTGCCACCTTTGAAAAATAAAATTGTTTTTCCAAGAAAAAAAAATCAATCAATTCATGTCAACAAAAAAAAACCATAAATAATTAATGTGTACGCGTTTGTCAATCAAATAGGCAGAAGTTTATATGATTGGCTAATTTTCTGTAGATCATTTCTTAATCTTTGTAATTTAATTGGTTCAATTTTATTAGATGATATTAAAATAAATTCTTATGATTAGTAATCAAACAAAAAAACCATAGCCGAAGAAATCACCATATTGTATCATCTCATGAGGCTAAAATGTCATCTGCAAATTCTTTAATCATCATTATCATCTTCAAGAATAGAATCGGGATCTTCGCCTTCAGCATTACTATTCAAATTAGTTTGATGTAAACTTTTAGAAGTGATTGAACATGTTTATCAACACCACCCTTAATAAAATCTAAGCAATGCAAGCACTTGGACCCACCTTGGTTAAAACATGTGTTATGATATGCATGGCCACATAGCAATACCCATCCTGTTTCTTCAGTGATTATAGTTTTAGTAATAAAACAATTGGAAGAATCACAACCATGCAAACTAGGCTTATGCGAAGAGCTATACCCTAAAGGTAGATGACAAAGCCATGCTTCCTTCACTTTCATTGCTGGAATAGGAATACTGTTTCCTGCATTAGCACTTCCTTCTTAATGGGCGTTTCATAGAAACCTGTGGTGGGATTAAAAATTGGAAGACTGTCTCTTGCATATAGTGATTGCACATGGTCCTGTAATACTACTAGTAAATGGCATTTTTGTCTTCTAAGTAAAGTATGTCGGGAGTATGATTTTTTTTTTTTTCTTTTGCACAGTGAATGTCAGTATTATTTTAAAGGCTTTTGTAATAATTTCTATTTTTTTTTTAAACTATATAAATAATATGCGAACTCAATTGAATTTGATCAGCAAAATTAGCCAATCAGACAACTTCTGCCTATTAAATAAACAAAGAAGAAAGAATTCGTTCCTAAGATTGCTAGGTAAGTGTTTATTAAAGAATGGTGGTTGTCATCATTCTGGTTTATATTTCCTTCTTATTCTAAGTTCGGAAACACCTCTGAGAGATAAAAAAAATACTGAAAATCATTGCTATTATCCAAAAGATGACAAGGGCAAGGAACTGGATAGCAAGTCTAAGAGATTTTATAGATCAATTTTATATTTTTTCAAAAAAGCAACTGAGTGGTCATATACAGCTTTTTGTGAACATGCATCAAGAAAAGGTTAATCATCCTACACAGAAACTTCATTAAGATGATGTATTCCAGATGTCTTGAAAATGCACTTCGTAATAACAAAATTAATAATAAAACTTTTTTATAATTACTGGATCAAGCAAGGGTACATTTACTTCTATGTCATTTTCACAAAATTAGGATGGATATAATTATGAAATATTATCTTAGTCCATGTAAAGTTCATTTGTTTGGTATTCAAGATGAAGCAATAAGGGAACAAATTAATTATGTTCTTAATGAAAAATGAAATTATAGGAAAAGATCCTAATAGCATTCTTAGCATGATTTTAGATGGAATTAAGAAATTGAATAAAGGTGAAAAATTTTAGATTACTTGTGACTATTTAATTTTATTTATATTTGATAATTTGTGGTCATTATGAAAGTGTTAAATTGAATTTCATGATTTCTGGACATATTAAATTCAAATGTGATGGTAGTTTTGGCATGATTAAAAAACTCTATAAGAGAACAAGAGTAGATCGTCTAGACCATGTGGTTGAGGTGGTAAAAAGTGGAAAAAGTTTTCAATACTTAGATATTAAAGCTATTTTGGGAATTTATTTTAAGAAATTACCAAGTATCCAGAAATATCAACATTTTCTTTTTGAAGCATCAAATTTTGGTACAGTAAAAGTTCAAGAATTTGCTAATGGATCTTTTACTGAATTCAATTTATTGAAAACTAAGAGAGCAGATCTTTTTGAAGAAATTAAAGCTCTATCTATTTTAATATTGGCACCACCTATTTTGGATTATAAAAGATGAGAATACCTTTATAATAATAATTGCCCATTTGTCAGAGATAAATTCAAAGATATTACTTGCCCCAAGCCAGCACAAAATGTAATTGAATAATTTTTACAAAATTAAAAAGTGTAGATGATAGAATTAACCCTAATAACTAAAATAACTAGAAGGCACAATAGTATTCCACAACCAACCATTCGTAAACTTTCTCTCTTGTTCTTGTTAAGTTGGTTTTCTAATTTGACTTGGGAAGTTTTATTTAAGCATGTTAGTTGAAATTGCCTCTCTTAATAAATGAATCTGAAATGCTGAAATAGTTTTTCATAGTTGCTGAAATCAACTTCATTACTTGTCAAAATTATATCCAAAATTATTTGAACACTTTAACTCAATAGCTAACATTCTGGGTATCCAAAACTGCTTGCCAAAATTAGTTTTTCAAAAACTATTTCAGCTAACATCCTTAATTTTTTTAGGATCTCTTAATTTTTCAGCTATTCTTTCATTTTCTATGATGCCAACAAACTTACCAGCTTTATTAAATGGTCTTCCTTCTCCACAGTTTTTACCTCATATTTTTGCAGTTTGAATTTAGAAACAGCACAAAAACAATATTATCTTTTTTCACTCCCTTTTCTAGTTCATCTGCTTCAGAAAAGTTATAATTTTTTTGTCATTGATTAACTTGATTTCTTTTCCTATTTGCAGAGAAATATAAAAGTACATGACAATTAATTCCTTCTTCCATTTTTGTAATACTTCAAATTCTTTTCAAATTGAGGGTTCTAGTGATCATTTGAAACACATTACTCTGGTTCAATAGCAGTGTATACAAAAGATGTTTCATTATGTAATCTTGTAAATAGTTTACTTCTTTCTGCAATAATATTATCTGCTGTGGGTTTCAAAACCTTTTTGGTTAATTCTATTTGCTCAGGAGTGGTTGGCTTATACTCTTTTGACATACACTCATTTCCATAACTTTCTTTGTATTTTGGAACTGTGCAAGCCATGAAATGAGGGAGGCCTTGACCAGCAAGTTTTTCCAGTTGGTATAATAAATCAGAAGTTCACAGGGTGGTAAACTTTGTCTATACTTTTCATGGTATTATTAGGCATGTTACACATGTCTCTCATATTAACATTACACAATGAGATTTACTATTGGGACGGATATTAACAAAAGTAAAAAAACTTCCTACTAAGTCTGATACATAGCAATCACATAGTAAGTAATGGCACACATAAAAAACCATCACGTGACCGAAATGTAATATAATTGGCACAAACACATTTTTTAAAAAAATGCTTGTATCCCGAAATTTTGCCTATGAAACAGACTTTTATTTTATAACAAAAAAATTCCTTGCCAAATTTTATTATATATGCTCTTTTGGTTATTGCAAACAATCAAAGTTTTAATTTATTTTTAGATTTTTGCATTATTAGACAGAGTCACGTGATTGCACTTTGTTTCCTTTTTATGTGCACCATTACTGATCTACCTGCAACCACACAAACCTTTTTTATAAAGGACTACACTGCAACAGGAGAGACCGTTCTGGGAACACAAAAATTAACAGGAGGGAACACAAAATTTTAACCCATGCTATTTGTTGATTGACCAATTAAAATTGCGAATTTGATAAACGTAGAAATAAATATGGGTTTGATTCATTTTGTCAACAATCACTTCACCAACAATTGTTACATTAACGAATTTAAGAAGTTGGAAGCAACCGTTGAAATAGTCTAATAAATTAAATCGTACTACTCGAAAATGTATTTAAAGGGTTGGTTTTTGACTTGGTCGGATAATAACTCTCTTCCTAACTCTTCTCTTGACCATATCTCTCGATATAATCAAAATAACCTTAATATAACGAATGTCAATGAAATGATTGTAAACACAACAAATTTAAGATACATGATTGTGACGAAAAATGAACAATGTATGAAAAATCAAACAAATTTATTTAATAAAAACAAATTTACAACCAAAAAAATTTTTTTTCATGTTCTAATAAAATTTCCATTGTTGCTGTCATCTGTTGCTGATTCAACATTGCCCAGATCATCATCAACTGTATTTTCGTTATTTTCGATAAATTCATTTTCATTTAATATTGAAAGATCCCCTCAATCCATTCCATTTACTACATCTACAAATTCACATTCATCTGCTATTTCATTTACTTCATCCATTTCATCCACACAAACCACAGAAATTATGAATAATAATAATAGTAATAATGATGATGACAATAATAACATTGATGATGTTGAATCGAGGTGTTGCAAAACAAAGGAGAATAGAATATGTGGTTTTCATGTACATCTACCATCATGGAATAAAATATGCAATGGAAGAATATTTAATGCGAATAATCGTGAACTTAGCACATGCCCTTTTTTTAACTTTACGTTTTGTGTAGAATTTCAAACTATAAATCAATACCCCATCAACATACCTTCTGTGCCAAGATGTTATTGTAAAAGACCAATTGTATTGACAAGAATTACTACACCTGGTAATATTGGAAGATGGTATATGGCTTGTGCAAGTTATCACGTTAGTGTGCACATATGTTTATATGAATATATTATATATATTTATTTTTATATAATTAAAAAAAATTATATTTTATTAGGTACCGGGAGCAAAGCCTAAATGTTCATTTTTTAAGTGGGCTGATGAAGTTTTATATGATAAAAATGACCAATGTTTTCATGATGATTTTTACAAATTTGAACAAGTATTTATTAGGGAACCAACTTATCAAAATTGGCGAAAAAGATTGGTTTGTAATATAAAACAAGAAATAGATGAGATTATAGCAAATGACAATGTTAATGTAAACACCAGCATCAACATCAATATCAACAACAACAACAACAACAACAACAACAACAA